ATTTATTTTCATTTCACAAATTACTCATTGTCTAGCTCTCCTTATGAAAGGGAAATATCTTCATGTGACTTCCAACAGAAAAGAGGATCAGAGACAATACAAAGCTCTCTGACTTGCTGTGCCATTCCCTGTTAGCATTAAAAGGGTGAAGAAGGAGAGGCAGAAGCTTTGCCATATTCAGAGGTGTGTAAACACCTGCAGCTGCCACCAACCTCTGGTGAAATAGCAGCATCCCCTTCTACTGAGGTAGGGGAAAAATGAGTAGAAATATATGAAGATCAGCCTGAAGAGCACATTATAGTATTTAGAAGTCTTACCATTTTATCATTTCTTTGGAAACTTCCCTAAAGAGTCCAGCTGGCTTCCCATAAGGGTGTTAGAAGGACAGAGACAAAGCCCAGCCTGTGAGTGGAACTGGGAGCACCTCAGTGTGCAGCAGCACTGGCTGCACAAGCCCCAGCTTTGCTGTCAGGGTCTCTCTGTGCTGACCCTGAAGCCAAGAGCAGGGTCAGTGTCCTGCAAACAGCACTACAGCATTTGGAAAGCTCCTCTCCATTACTTGCTCCACATCAACACAGACAGTAAGCAGAGATCAAAAGACACACAAGTCTATTTCTCCAGCAGAACTCTTGGATGGTGCAGATTCCACAGACTCAATCTTATGTGCAATTAGAAAGAATTACCAACTATGGAAAATACCAAGAGAAGGTACAGAGCAGGCCTTTGAGCCATCAGGGTATTTTTGGCAGTCATGCTGTTGTTTGGTTCCCTCCTTAGAGCCCGTCTGTGAAGTCTTATGACTGCAACAGACTCTTCCCACGGATCAAGCTCACATGGCTAAGGAGAAGGATGTAAAGGCAGAAACCCAGAAACTCTCCCAGCAAGTCATGCTTGCTGCCACTGGACAGCTGGCACCATCCAGGGGGCAGCAACACTTCTCCCCTTTCTCCAGTTTTCTTCACTTGACTCTGGCCTTAGAGCACTTAAACCTTAAACCTCAGAACATCTTTGTGAATGAGCCACTTAGACAAGAGGAGAATTGAAGTGGAGAGCAAAAACCACAAGCATCTAGTGTGTTTTTGCCCTTTAGACCTCAGAAGTTTAGACTGCTAAACCTCTGACAGGCAGCTGCAGGACAGTGACTGAACCTCCAACCCATCCATCCCAAACAATTCCCATTAGCAGGGTGCCCACTGGAGCATCTGAACTGAGTAATGAGTTCACAGATTGACAGAGATCCTGTTCCAATGGGAATTAATCCTCCAACAGTCCAAACAGTGAAACTATTCCTACTATGCTCTTTGCTGCCTGGCTCATGTACACACTGGGTTTTTTCCCTGTTAAGATAATGGCCCCATCCACATTACATTACTGCCTTCAGGATGTGATCCATCTGGACCATTAGTGTTTCTCCTCTCTTACAGTAATGCCAAGTCACCCCAGTCCTACCTTGTTTCTGAATGGAATGGTCTGTGTGAACAAAAATGAGGAGAGAATATGCAGAATTAATCATATAAAAACACATTGCTCAGAGTAAGAAACACAAGTTTAAATTCTCTTCCACTGTTTCAGTGATGTCTGGGATTCCTCTATTAGAAATAAACAAGATATTCATTAACTAATTGCTTATGTAACAAAGATCATTGCATGAAATTATCATCTAGAGCCACTGAAAGAATCTTAATTATCCAGGTGAACTTCAAAGCAGAACTGCACTTTGTGATTTCTCTGGTTGCCTCCTCAACTCTTCTGGTTCCTGATCTACAGTCAGTAGCATGTTGATTAGCCTGACCCAATTTCTGGATTAAAAAAGCCAACTCAAAGCAGCAGCTGATCAGAAGTGAAGGGCTTGTTGGATGGTTTGTGGTGTCAGTGCTGGGGGCCAGCTGCCACTGCCAAGGTACCCATACAAGCCTCTGTTCATCAAAAGGATGAGCGGCCCCAAATGCAGCAACCAAAAAGCTTTGCCTTCAGTACTAAATGACTGCTCCCCTGCTCCAGAGGCCAAATGGAAACAGAGTGTTTCCAAGCCTGACTGCCAGATGCTAAGAGCATAATGGCTACAGAATAAGGTCTCCAGAGGTGGAAAAGCAGCAATAAGCTGGAGAGCTCCCTCTGCTCCAAGTTCTGTGCCCAAAGCCAGCTTTGCATGAGAATTCTGCAGCTCTGAGGGACCGATGCTCTTGAGAAGTGGCAACTTCCAGGAGTCCCCATGGCCACCTGCTGTGGGAACTGCTGCTCCAGAGCCCCAACACTGCAAGCTCTGCTACTGCAGTCCTGGCAAGCTCCTCACACCCCTAGCCTGCAGCTGTGGCCAACACATGCTGCAAAGTGCAGAGCAACGGCTCCGTGTTGCCAGCATCCTTCTCCCAAACCTCCAGGGAGAACAATGGCTCAGTAACACCAGCATCCTTCTCCCAAGCCTCATGTCAGTTCTAAACCTAAACTGAAATAAAAGCGAGATACGCTGTAAGCATATCCTAAATCCTGAACACAACCCTTACTGACATCAGAGAACTATTCTACAGGACTAACAGCTCATCTTAGCAAATCTCACCAAGCACCACACGTATTCTAAGATCTTCAGTATCCGTTCTACCACTGAGGGAACACTCCCTTCACCCAGGGAGAAGATTCCCTGCAATAAAACCTTCTATTGGAGAAGTGACAATAGCCTGGACTTCAGTTGTCAATGCCATCTGTGCCTTCAGGCTGACCCACAAAAGGGCTGGGCAGAGGGCTACTCACAGGGTGGGTGGAGGGTGGAGAAGACAGGAATTCTGCACTTGCTTTTGCTCTTCAACTTCCACAACCATCTCTTCTCAGCAACAGCCTCCTTTCTTTTTAACCCTAAATCTGTTCCTCATCCTATCAAAGTCAACATAAACTTTTCTATGCTGCGACCACATTTTCACCAAAAAACCTCACTTTGAAGTGAACCCTTTTGCATACAAAAAGAAAAGAAGAAAAAAAAAAGTCATACTGTTTTTTCCCCTGCAATTCTCCTGGAAGTGAGCAAAGAGCAATAAGTATCTCCAGCTTTAAATTATCTGCAGCAGTGAAACTTTCACAAAGAGGATGCCCACACTGCAGGCTGCTGCATGGGGAGCCTGGGGATGAGCACAGAGCTGGCCACAGCCTCCAGAAGAGAATTTGGGGACAAACCCATTGGAAAGGAGCTGCAGTGAGCTGTGGGTCATGGAGCACAAGCTGCTCACCCAGGCAACTTCCAAGCAGACTTTGCCTTTCTAAGCTGCAGTGCAGTCTGCAGTGCAGTCCCCACTGTAAATATACCCAAAGTCTTTGCAATCAACATTTTAATTCTAACATAAGGGGGGAAAAAAGCAAAACAGGGCAATTTCAACCAAAGCAAACAAGGTACACAAAGTCCAAGTAACACAAAAGGGTTACAATTCCTGTAATGTCTCTGTAACCCTTTTGTTCTCTTATCTCATACTCCTGGCCCACACTTTATAGATGCTGCAGCTAAAATCAGGCTAATCTAAATCTTACCCAAGTCACTGGAATGCTTTCTGCTGATTTATGTTAGTCAGAATTTTGTTTTTGCACTGCTACTGACATATGAGCAGCATGAGGATACAAGAAGCTCACTACTACTTTAATTTCTTGCATGGTCTTACATTAAACATGGACCAGACACAAAAAGACCAAGGTACAAGATCATATCAATGCAGGTGCAAATCCTACATGTTAAAAGAAAATGCTCTCAAGTGAAAAAAAAAGAGAAAAAAAATAAAGAAAAGGAAAATGAATGAGCAGATAAACATTTTACTACTTTAAAATAATACAAGAAACACGTCCCAGTGCAGGAAAGACTCCTCACCTGAATCATTCCTCTGAATTACTCACTTTTTCATCTCTAAATTCACTATTAAACTGTTAAGAAAAAGCTTCTTAAATTAAGAAGAATCTCTTGATGCCAAAACAAAAGCATGTGTATAAAGTATAAATGATGTCACACATTAACAGACTAACAGGCAAACAAAAATCATCAGAGCTTCTTGCAAATCAAAGTAGTTTTATTTCCAGTGGCTTCAATGTTTGACTCAGAACCAAACAGAGCAGAGGTTCAAAATCTGACCTCCAATTTGTAAATCCTTTTTACCCCGTTCCAGTCTTTCAATACTAAGAACCATCAGATTAGAAACTAATTTTGTCTGTACCTTTGTCCTTTATAAACTGCTGAATATCACTGTATTACATCTATGAGCTCTTTCAGATGATCTGTGAAAAGCATACTTAGAATTCCTCTTTCAAACTTAATTTGCAGTGATTTTCTTGCAATAATATGAGAATAAATGAAAAAGATAATTGATTTCAACAGTAAGCAATTACACACAATGACTTTTCTACAGCAGTTGTCTAATTAAGAGACTATGAGCCCTGAATATCAAGCCTTAGATTTAAGCATTGTTTTTCAGGTATGCATATGATATGCAAGATGCATAACTTTTTGTGTTCTGTTTCACTGCAGATGCACAAAGATACTTAATACAAACTTTTAGCCCTTCACAAAAAATTTATGTTTGCATATTTGATTTGAATGTGAAGGAAAGAAACAGCTACCATTCAACTGAGTAAAGATATATGAAGGTTATCAACATCAATAAATAACATTTATGGCAAGGCTGATCTAAAAAGTGACACTGGACTAAAAATAACTTGACAAAATTAACAATGAAAGATTTTTATATGAATATGAAACATGCATATGCACAGATGTCAGTTATATAAGCCATTTCTTACATCATTAAAGAGTAAACACCAGGCTATTCTCTCAGCTTATCAAAACACAGTAAAAAGCAGACACATTTCCTTTCCCATATTTCTCTCCCTTAATTAACAGATTTTTTTAACTGCGTTTCTTTTACCACCGCAGCAGAATCTCATCTGCCCCCTTATTGTCAATTGCTACATACAAATGCCTATTGCTCCCAAAGGCTTTTCTAAGAAGCAACAAAAGGATTGCAGGCGCATACCTTAACCTCTTGGCTGGCAAAAACCTCCACATCAACCCCACAGGCAACCAGAGTGGAAACATCACAGTCCATGCTACGCGCTGGCATCCCCCGCCTTTGTACACTGAGTTAGGCAAGCTCAGAGTCACAAACGATGCAAGAAAACAACAAAAGAATAAAAAAAAAAATCTTCAGTACTGCAATTGAACAGTCCAAGATTCAGTTTCAGCGCTGGCAATGCCTGCAAGCCTCCAACACGAGCTCTGTGCACTTAAAGTGAGTTGCTGGTTGCCTGTCCCCTGTACACCCACCAACTGAGCAGGCACAGCATAGTAACAGCGCTATTCCATCTCTCATGGCAATGACATCACCACAAAGACTGACATAAGCTAAATCTATTTTTTCAACCCTTTTATCTCTAGGCAGCACAGTGGATCAAATTGAACATGATTATGTGCTAAATCTGAACTCGGACTAAATCAATTCAAGCAGCGTTCACTGTCAACTGAGTCATAGCTGTTGTTTCAGCTGAGTGCTTATGGTGGCAAAAAAAATAAAAAAATAAAAGAGATCGCCTGACACTGAAAGCTCCACTCTGTGTGTAAATTAACCCAGCATTTAAAGCCACTAATCTCAAGGTAACATTTGTGACTTCACTGTACTTGAAAATCTACGGCAGAGCACTAATAAAAAAACCCTCAAATCAACAAAACCTCAGCCCTCTGGTTTTAATAGCTCTAAGTCCTCTTTTTTAATAAAGCACACTCTACAACCCCACACACGGGATTAGAGAACATCTTGTCCTGTCACCAGCAGCGATCAACACACTGCAAATTTGATGCCAGTGCTTCACATCCACGTTGCACTGTGACTCATCCCCAGGAAGATCAAAGGCATGTCTGTGTGTGATTTGGAAGTCAATACCCCTTCAAAGAACAGAACATGAAAATTTCCTTGAAATTAGGACTTCACACTGGGCAAACTTTACACCATCCATCCTAAGGGTTAACCCTTCACAAATAGAACAGAATTCAACAAAAGAAACAAGTAGAAGTGAAGATGCTTTACACCTGCTGACTCAGTGATCAGTTTATTCTTTGCAAGTTTTATCATTTTTTTAATGATAGAAATAAAATATCTACATGTCTGGGACTTCTAAAATGATCTTTATCCCAGACTGGCACCATTATTTTTTCTCTACCATTTCATTCTCGTGAGACGTTAATTACTATTAATTGTTGTAGGCCTAGAATTGGCATTTATGGATACGTCAGATTAATAAGGAGAATTAAATATTTAACTACTGGTATGAACCTAGGAGCTGCTTATGGCTCAGTGTAAGAGACTGCTCTGCTTACTTCCACTTCACTCACAGATAAACTCCTAATTATACTAACATTAGGTGTTAGGAGCAAATTCTTTACTGTGACAGGGCAGTGACATTAGATGCTGAGACAGATGAGCCAATATCTCTTACCAGAGTATTCTTTTTCAAGTTCTATTAAATAATTTTCCCACTTTTCAACTTGCATTTATAGCAACCTCCCCAGCAGTAATCACAAACTAAGATCCACAGCCAGGACAAAATCCTATACCAGCACTAAATATTTTACAAACCCAGACTATAGAGATCAACAGAAATGGATAGGGCAGCAGAAGGCAGAAAATGAATCAATATTGTTTGTCACAATTATCAATTCCTTTGTGCACTGGTCACTTATCACTGTCAAGATTTTTCATAAACCAGAGGAAACCACTTTTTAGAAATATTTTGAAGTTAACATTTTTGGGAGTGTTTATAGGACCTTTTATTTGTATATCTGAATATAATATGCATGTGCTAAAAGAGAAAAAAAGCCATAAAGGCCTGATTGAAGTTGCAGGCAGACAGCAAGGGAAAAATCAGAGCATCAGAAAAGTGAGAAGCCAGTAAGTGCTACCAAAGAGCTGGAAGGAAACATTGAAAGCAAAGATGAGTCATGTGTCTGAGTCTTATGAAAGTTGTAACAGTGATGGACCAACAGGATAAAAACAAAACAAGCATTTGGGAAAGGAAAAGATCAAGAAGCAGATGATGATGGTCTCTGAGGTCCATAAAGGCATCCAGAGTGAGAGTGATGCCTGGCCTGAGTGTGGTTCCACAGCAGGGACGGAAAAATGATCTTCCATTATAGAGCTACACTGCATAGTTCTGGAATTATTTTCTTCCTTTCTTCTTTAAAAACTTCCACCTATCAATTTCAATAGCCTGAATGTTCTTATGAAAACTGGCACCTGATGTGCAAACTGACCTGTTCCACTTCATGATTATTCCTGCACATCCACTGTTAATCTCCTTTCAAAAGAGAATCACTGCAATTTTTCCACTTCATCTGAATAAGGAAACCTTACTGAGATCACAATCACTTTCATTTCTTGCTTTTTCTTGCCTATTCCAAAGTATAACCTAATTTTTCCCCTTAAAAATCACTCTAGCTCACTAGGGTATTTTAGTGAGCTCTTTACAAAGACAACCTAGTTGGTTGTGCCTCTTGAAAACAAAGATTACCTAACAGAAGAACTCTATAAAGCTTTTGAGTACCCCAGCTAATATTTTTGAATATATGTCATATTCTATTTGCTCCTGCTCACTTCTCATTTGAAATCAAGACATATTCCTGTGTGAATTTTTTTTTCAGAGCACTCCACAATTCCTTGTAGTCTCACTTAATGTTAATGAAAAATTTATTATTGAACACTTTAATATTGGTTAATATTGACTTATTTCTCCAGTTCAGGAGACTTGCTTTTCATCCAAATTTAAAGAAAAAAGTATTTCAATTTCTTTCAAAAAATTTCTTAACTCCGTCTCTAGATGGTATTGTTAACTGCAGTTCACCAAACTCACAAGAAAAAAGGAAGCCATGTTTCATTAATATTTTGAATATTATGTTTAGTAAACAGAAATTGATATAGATAGACTTGCACTTCAGCATTGTCCTGAAGGTTGTCTAGATCACAAACTTTATGTATGTAACTCTACTGCCATCCCTCACCAATTTTATATGGGGTTTAAGACCATGACCATAAACTCTGAGAACAGAAAGTGGAGAGTTTTGAACAGTTACTCAAAAGTTTCGTAGTTTAATGTTTGTCCATAGCAACAGTTTTGCATGGAATTCAAGGGGCACTACTCACTACTGTGAATATCTCAGGGGGCTGAATTTGGGAGCAGCTGAGGCTCATTTGTACAGGCTGAGTATGGAAATACCAAGTTTTCACAGTAACATGCAGAGACATCAGACAGGTTCTAGAACTCAGAGCAATATTCCATTGTTCCTTCACAAGCACCACAGTAACCCCACAGCATCACTAGACTCTGATGATTAACACTTGATAATCAGGTCTCGTATTTTCATCAGCTTTTATGTTTTCATTTCCTCAACCAGAAGGAAAATAAAAGCCATGCCATTCCAGCCAGGAATCTTCCATTCTGGATCTAGACAGCTCCTGGAACAGCACAGCCTTTACTCCTCTGTGAGGAGTTGTTTTCCTCCTGTAGTTCCAGCTGTGCCTCAGCTTAACACACATGAGCAGCACCACAGATTTCAGATTTTCAGGCTCAACTCTCAAGTCATTAAAACAACTGCTGCAAAATCTTGACCCTCCTTTTGCAAGCAAACTACAACTGATTTAGCCTTAGGGCAACTTCACTGGCTCTGGACCTCACAGTAACATCAGCCACGTGGTAACCAAACCCAGCAGTCAAATTCAGATCCTGACTGTTCTGCTCTATGGCTGAAGCTTGTGCTTGTTGTCACTGGTACTAGAGGGGTTATTTCTGCAGCAGCTCTGCTTGCAGGTGCAAACCTTACTAGGTCAATGTACAAATCAGAAAAATAAAAAGGAGGCCTCCATCAATGACCCATTGAGGGCTGAATGGAACACTGGGAATGGATTCACATTATGGCTGATTGAAGTGCTTTTAATGATGTGCATCTCTATCGATCCTGTTCAGCCTACTACACAAGTAAACAGCATTTAAACCATGCTCCTACCTGTCAGTAGGAACATACTTTTACAAATATAATCTCATTTTTAATGGGAATATGAATTATAAATACTTTCAAAACCACATAAACATTTAGAAATGTAAGACGGCCCTGGAAAAACAAACCCAGAAAAAGAAGACAGTTCTTCCAATTTCTTTGTCTACAGCAGAAGATAAAAAAGGCCAACCACAAACATTCTTCAGGGGCAAAGTTAGCTCCTTCAAAGAGGTGTTTCACAAGGACATAAAGAAAACAGAACACTGAAGACTGGGCAGGGTTCAGCTCACCCATAGAAAGAATTTTTTTTTTTTTTAAATGCAGTGAGCATTGGCTTGTGCTAAGGTCAATTACCCCCAAAACAATGGAAGCACCAGACAAATCCAGCCAGAGGAATGCACCAGCAAACTGAATAGCCATCAAACTGCTTGGAAGTGTATATTTTAAAGAGAATATTTAGCTGTCATTTGCAGTGAATAAGGAACACTGAATGATCCAACAGCTACAAACCCAATGATTTTCCCACAATGAGTCTGACCCCCAAGCGAAAGTTTCTACAAGTCTTAAACTCGCATCAATTGTGGCAAACAAAAGGACTCCAATTCACCACTTCTCATAATAAATAATCATTCCTATGAAGATTTTTAAAGACACAGAATCTTGACCAGACAAATAAAAGTTCAATTTAGAATAATCCTAAATCAGTAAGTTCCTCTTACATGCAGAGACTTGATTTTAGAAAATGCCTTGGCTGGCTTTGCTTTCATGAAAGGCAGCTTTTCTGCATTTTAAGTGATATTTTGCTTTTCTGTAGGCAATAATTTTCTGTCAGTCATGCTTCTAGGTCTCGGAATCTGAGGGCATCCAAGAAAATAAAACAAATCATCAGCATTATGAAGGATTTCTCCCTCTTTAATAAAGATAATACCAAACAACTCAAAGGCCTGCACATGGTGGGAGAACACTTCAGTGACTGCATAAACAACTGTGTCAGTCAGGCAGCATCACTCTGCTGTCTCATTTAGCTCCACACAAGCTGCAACTGTGAGTCAGAGCTGCTCAATTATTTTAACGTGGCTGTACCATTCATAGTCCTTCGCTTCCAAGTAAATTCAGGGAGGTGTGAGGGGGTGGAAATCTGTGCGTGTGTCTTCTGTCAACTCAGAATGGTTACAAATCCATTTCTGTGCCAGATCCACACAGGAAAACAACTGTTATGGTCCCAAATTGCAATCCTCTCTCTCTCTGGTAAAATAAACTGCTGCAGTTCAGGAGTCAAGACATCCTTGATTC